CGGCGGCGCGGGCAGCGGCGGCAGCCTAGCGGCCATGAGCGGCCGGGAGCACCAGTACAGCTCGCTGTCGGCGGCGCGGCCGCTGAACGGGACGTACCATCATCACCATCACCACCACTCGAGTCCTTACTCGCCTTACATGGGTGCGCCTCTGACGCCGGCCTGGCCCACAGGACCCTTCGAAACCCCGGTGCTGCACAGCCTCCAGAGCCGCGCCGGAGCCCCGCTCCCGGTGCCTCGGGGTCCCAGCGCAGGTAAGAGTCGCGCCGCAGGGTGGAGATGCGGGCCTGAAGGTGTAGGGTGGTGCAGGGGGCTGTGGAATAGCCGATCACCTGCGGGCGACGTTCTCTGGCTTTCCATGATGGATTTGGGGGGGGGTGTTAGTGGCAAGATGGCTAGGGGCTGATGGCATTGATGTGATGGTCTCGTGCGAACTGTCTCAGGTTACTCTCCAGACCAGAGAGCAAATGCGCATTTAGTTCTCAATGCCTTAGAGAAGTGAGTTTGGGGGGGGGTGGGAGTGGGTGGGTGCGGGACTTGATGAACATTGACTCGGGAGGGCAACTGGGAAAAGGTGAGGTTGCTGTCAGGGGCCTGAGCTCAACCACTGGCCCAGGTACGGAGGAGTAGAAAAGTGAGATTGCTCTTGGCTAAGTTTGGAGCACGTGATCCAGCCTCTTCTACCCCCCTCCCCCCCCCAGGTGCGCTCACGTGCACTCACGAGCTCACCCAGTTTCACTCTCCAGGCATGAGTGGTGTGTTGTCTTGGAGGTACAGGACAGTCTGAGACGTAGGGATCCAGTTGTCTCTCCTCAAGGGAGAAATGGAAAGGAAAGATGAAAGAAAGGCATTTAGATTTGCAAGTTGAGTGAACCTAGCCCCAAGGACAGCTGGCGATGGCGGGCTTTGGGCTTGGCATCAGCTAGCAGAGGTCATCTCGTGGCCGGGTCTGGGAGTTGTGCACATTAGGCGCCCTCCCTGGTTTAGCCCAGTTTCCATACTTTCATTCTGGTGTCCGCTGGGAAGACAAAATGGTCAAGTATTAGAAAAAAAAAAACACCTCATTTTGGAAAGTGCTTGGTTGTGCTGTGAGGGGAGGATGTGCTTCAGAATTGAGTGCATTCACAGGTTTCTCCCCCCTCTTGATAGTTCACCCATTAGGCAGCTTTTCCTAAGGAAAAACAAAATTTTTGGTGTTTTGAGGGATTGAAAGAGACCCCAGATTCACAGAAATGGCTGAGAAAGAAGGGAGACACTGATTGGTCCTACTGGGTTTTCTGGTATCCTAATACAGGATACTAGATCCTACTGATCTCGATGCTGGTACTAATCTAGATATCATTTAGAGACAATGAGTCCATTAGGTTAGACGAGTTAAGTGTAATGTGTTGAGGAAAGCACTGGAAATCCCAGTGGCCCCAAAGTGAGGAAAGTGATTTAACACAGGGAGAAGGCCACTGACTGGAGAATGCGTCCTTACTTCACTTCTTCAGAGGTCTCTAAGCCTTGCCACTCTGATTTCCTTCCATCTGAGCCCTCTCTGGGGTGTATCTTCATCTTCTTGCCTGAGGCAAGGAGAGGAGACCCAACTGCGGCTAAACGCAGTTAGGGCAGGGTGAGACTTTCTTATTACTTAGGGACCTTTCTTATTACTTAGGATTCTCCAGGCTGGGAGAGAGACTAGGAATCTTAAGCAGAGAAGTAGTTGGTGTGTGACTTTATCAGTTTGGGGGTCCTGTGGGAAATGTCAAAAGGCTATGTTGTGTGTGTAGGATGTAGCTTGCTTGACTTTGAAATTCCTAGCCCATAGGTTTGAAGCTTGTCTCAGGATGGTAAGCTAGTACAAAGATAGAATCAAGTCTACAAATGATCATAGAAAGTCTTAGAGGAATACTTAAGGAGAGGATGAGGGCAGGTCGAAGTTGGTTTTTGCTTTAAATGTATTAATTTAAATGTATTGATTTTTATTCATAATTTTTATTTATTAGTAAATTGATAAAAATAAATTTATTTTTTGGCTCATTATTTTCACCATCTGAGCGTGACACGCACAAGTTGTAGAGTCGAAGTTAACAAAAAGTAGGGCATGTGGTGAAGGGACAAATTTTGCATAGCCAGTTCAGAAATCATAATGACAAACCAGTATTTGGGGTAAGAGCTCAAGGGACTCATAAACAGGAGTTGTACTGACAGCTTCTAGCTACATCTGTTTTCATTGTCCTTTAATTTTTTTTGTTTATAAAAGGGATGCACAGTCCATTTCTTTTTGGACAATGTCACCCCCTTCCCTCATTCTCTATAATATTTTTTTAGCAAACATTTTTTGGAGGCAAATTAATTGGTATGAGCAAACACAGGAACTGAATCTCAAATGCAGTGCTTTATTAACCTCTTCATTAAGGCTTCTGGAAGCGAATTTTCTGACCCTGTCCTTGACTGCTGGTGGATGGGGTGGGGTGGGCTAGCCCTGAAAAAGTCCTGGTCTTCATAGCCCCTCATTCTCTGGCCCTATGCCCACCTAAGCATGCTCCATTCGATGGCCTTCTAGGACCCCTGGATGGAACTTGTCACTCCCCAGAGACACCCAATTAACCACTTAGAACAGTAGATGTGTGCAGCCATCACCATCAAATTTAGTCATTTTTATAAAACACTTTAGTCATTTTTCATTTGAGTTAGATTTGGTGCTGCTTGACAAGCATGCTGAGAGATTGAAAAAGAGTAAGAAATTTTATTTTGTAAAAACAAGGTTTCCTAGATTTTATTCATTCACTGTGGATTTAAATTTTGCCTTTGGGGGTTTCAAACGTCTATGGAGTTTCTGTGTGGGGCATTCACTCATTCTCCCTGGAGCCTGGCTTTATTTGTCGGCCAGCGGTTGAGGAGGCTCTGGAGGCCAGGCACAGGGCAGGGATTTCCAGGGAATGCCCCACTCCCTGAGCACAGGGGCTCGGATAGGTAACATTTTAAAAGTCAACAACAAAGACAAATACCTTGTTTAACTTCAATGTCCTTGAAGTCCTGTGCAGTTTACCGTGGTCAATAGTAGGTTTTAGGGCAGAGAAGAATAAATCTTTTGTCAAGTGTTATAAGTTGCATTATCCCCATGACAACTTTAAACCCAGCCTGGGTAGGATGCTAGTTTCTTTTAAAACAATAAATAAATAGATAAATAAATAAAATAATCCCCTCAGGGACTAGGAAGCACACGTTCTTTTAGCTGAGAGACTTTCTAGGGAACTAAAGCATTTTAATGCTGATTGTATTTAAATCTCTTCACCGAGCTATTGATGGTAGACACAAACTATTAACAGCGGGGGAATTGGAAACAGTAGAAAGGTTTAGGTCACACTTAATGTACAAATAAAGCCTAAGGTGTGATGTTTATTTACTTTAAAATATGGCTCTTAAGTATTTAAGAAAGCTAAATTAGAATATTTAGATACTCTAACAGAAGAGCACTGAACAGACATTCCCCGCTCCCCAAGTCTGGTTAATAAGTACTTATATCATTTGAGAGAATATATTTATTTTATATTTAACCTTGAGGGGAAATAATTGTTGTAAGGCTTACTCTTAGTTTTTTTTTTAATGAGCAGAGTACTTGTGAATTTCCAAAAACCAAATAATTAGAAAGGTGTCAGCTAAATACACCTAAAGTCAAAGAATAAATTAGAATTTTTGTATCAAAAGTTGAAGATGGCTTTATTTTTAGACAGATCTTGGTAATTTCATTTATCTGTAAAACATCGACATTTGGTCAGGAAAGGTTGCAGATTAGAAATCGGAATATTTTTTAGTGTTCCATCCTCGCAGCGTGCAAACAAAATCTGTTTAAACTGTTAAGCGGGGTTTTTTTTTCCCTTAAGAAAAATAATACGATTTTTCTCTTTCTCCTTGCTAGTTAAGTGTCCACAGAACCGTAATTTTAGTTTATCAGTTGTCTGGGGGGGTGGTGGTGGTGTTTGTTGTATTAGAAAGTTGCATAAGAAGAAGGAAAGAAACTTCTCTAAAACGACGTGATAAGAGTTTGTAACAGGGCGTCGTGTGTGTCCGGGGGGGGGGGACTTCTGTGGGTGGCAGCGGGGGTCGGTAGTCAGTGTTAATAATACCCTGCGCCTTGTGCGGCTTTGGCAAGTGGTAGGTGGTAATTAGGGTGGAAGGCCCGGGGACGGAGCTGACCTTCCCAGAGCGCACCTGAGACTCCGAGGGGCTCTCCAGCCCTGCCCCCGGCTCTCCAGGACGTGCCACCGGGGTATCCAGGGGGTGCAGGGGTGTGAGGCAAATGGTGGGCAGATCCAGTGGGGAGGAGCGCCGTCCGGGGGGCCAGGGCAAGGACCCCCGGGGACTCAGCTGCAGCCCTGCCTGCGGGAGGTTCCGGGATCCATTCCTGTTTCCGCATCCCGGCCTCACCCTGTCTGCCGCCCCTTTGCCAACACAGACCTGCTGGACGACCTGCCCGAGAGCCGCGAATGCGTGAACTGCGGCTCCATCCAGACGCCGCTGTGGCGGCGGGACGGCACCGGCCACTACCTGTGCAACGCCTGCGGGCTCTACAGCAAGATGAACGGCCTCAGCCGGCCCCTCATCAAGCCGCAGAAGCGCGTGGTAAGTGTGCTCGCCGTCCGCGGGGCACAGGTGCGGGCACGGCCAAGCCCCGCAAGGTCCCAGCCACGGAGCACCGAGACGGCATGGCCGGCCACAGCCGCTGCGCGTCTCCCCAAACTGGACGCACACGCACGGGTCTTCTGCAGGGACCCAAAAGGAAGGAGTTAGGCGTAGCGGCTGTTCAAGTGCCAGATCTCTTACTTTCTGTACCTTTAGATGTGTTTTGGCCTGTGCACTGAAATCATTCCGGAAGGATGCACAAGCTCTTAGGAACGAAGGAAGCAGGCTCATTCGGAAATCTCCATTGGCTAATGGAATATTGTGGGTGCGCCCCCCTCTTGCCTCTCCCCCCACAGCCTCGCCCGGGCTCCCTTTTGCTCCTTCGTCTTTCTCTCTCTGGATGGACTTCTCCATCCCTTATTTATCCTCAGAGAGAAACAAGGTTTTAGCCCCCAAACGCCAGTGTCTTTTGAGTCTGGTGAAAATGAATGTGTTTTAACCTCGATTGTTTTGAAATCTGTTGAGTTCAGAGAACCACAGATCTTGAGAAAAATGTGGAGTCTGTATGGTTTCACATCAAGGACATTGACCCATTCCAAACACATTTTGCCATGGTTTTTAAATAGGGAAGTTGTGATTTTCTTTAGGGACTATTGTGCGCAATCATTGCAAGATGGGGTATCTGCCACTGTAGGGACCCCCGCACTCTTAGGCTAACATTTGTTTAGTCAAAATACTCATACTCTACATACCTTTTAATGCAAAAGGTTTTTCCAGTTAGATGCCAGACATCTTAAGTATTCAAGTAATTTATTTGTTTCACTCCAATTAGCAGAACAAATGCAGCACACATAATTAAGTAGATTAAAGTGAAATAATTGCATCACAATGTAAGTCTGACACCTTAAAGAGAAGCAATTCGTTTTATGGTTGTTTTGTTTTTAATGCATTTAAAACAAGGAGAGGCTGAGATTAACTTAATGGGTGTTTGTGCCTTAAACTTGTTAGACTCTCCCACAGCTTTGATTGAATTTTCTTTAAAAGATATTCTTACCCAACGGTGTGTGACTCCCTGTGGTTTTCGTTATTCTTTTTCTTTCTTTGAGACCCAGCCTGGTTTAGTAGCTGCCTCAGGTTGGCCTTGAACTCTTGAATATTTCTTTACTTGGGAAAGGGCAGCAGGGATGCTCACCACGACCAACTGTTTCTCATTATTCTTATATGTATCATATTAAAAAAGAGTAGTTAGAAAATATATATCCCAAGGGAGTTTCTTGTTTTCATGAAGCAGACAATGCTTGAACAATGGAATTATTATTTTTGAAAGGCATTTGGAGTGGAGTGCTGAGATTTGAAAGGTAACATTTTTCCTCCCTACGGAGCAAAAATGTAGTGTAATGGTAGCAGTTTGGGTTCTTGTTGAATTATAAGTAAGGTTTACTCACATTTATATTTAGATCCTGCACTTATTTTGTGCATTTACCAGTGAAAATAATCCTTAGTATCAAGAAAGCCCCCCCCCCCACATTTCTGAATCCATTAGTTCTGTTTGTGTGGCAGGTGTCTTGGCTGTAACCAAGGTCAGCCAGTGTGCTTTGTAAATGAGTTATAAATTGTACCCATAGTAGGGTGTGTCACTAACAATTAGTTCTCCTTGTGGGCTTCTTATTTATGGTTTTGATGGATCTGGCTTAGTTTTCAGAAACAATATTGAACTGGAGTTTGTTTAGCCAGCAGTACAGAACCAATTTGGACTTGCAATCCATTGCAAAATAAGAGCTTTATGGTGTAACTTGAATTCCTTGTCAGTGAGGAATATAACTGAGATCACTTGTTGCAGGCAACTTTTATAACCCGTTCACCTTCATTTCACATGTTTATGAGCACTGGCTTCACTTATGATCCGAAGTTGACAGTCATAAAGTTCTTTGTTATATTGGCAACTTCTGATAACAAGTTTGCTTCACATTGGCTTCAAATTCCACTGGAAACTGTCATAAATGTCCCGTTTATAAAACGAATCTGACTGTCTCTCCTAGACTGGTTTAATATTAATGGAGACAAAGTAGTGCTTGCCTACAAAATTAATATCTTTTAGCCACAGAAAAGGGGAGGGAAAGGGAAAGCCTTGATCAAGTGTAAAATTTTGTTAATTCTTTAAGGAGTCTTTTTAGCAAAGCAGTTCCTTAAACAGTTCACCTATTAGCCAAGCATATTCATTTCTAACATATTATAAGCAGTTGAGTGCTACGTTACTTAGTACCCAACTTCTCAGAAATGCTGTGTTAACATCTAAAGAATGATGCTGGGTGTGAACTGTAAATGCAAAACTCAAATTGCACCATTTAGATTTTCATCAAATCATTTGGAAATCTCTGTCCTGATCATCAAATAGCCAATGTATGCCCTGTTTATATTTTTCTCCATTTTTAATCATTTCATTTCTTAAATATCTCTGCATTTTATAACTTAAAATTTGCTTTGACCTCTGATTTTTCCTAATAGTTTTGTTTTTAACTGGTCATGAAAATATTTTTAAGTAAAAAATAAATTTAAATTTAAAAAGAAATGTTATGCCATTTTGAGGAAGAAATTACTGTCTTAAAAGTTCAGGTGCAATGATTTAAAGGATATGTTATGGGTATAAAAGGAAGACAGAAATGAAATATTATCGAACAAAGTAACCTGTCTCCAGAATTCCAGCTAATCATTGGTATGGAGAAAAGTTGATATATCATACTGACAGGGCAAATAAAATAATCAGTATTGCTGTTGTATGAGGCCGTGTTAGCTAGTGTAGAAGACATTTGCTTGTATTCTTTGTAAAAGGGATAACTCCACGCAGCAGACACTCGGAATGATAGTTGTGGACCATCTTTCTGGAAGTTTGTGCTCTTTTGTTGCTGCTCATTTTCACAAGCCCTTAAGGTTTCTGGGTTATTTTTCCCACATATATCTGAGAAAAAGACTTGGTTATTTATCTGCAGTTTTCAGGTGGAGGGAGAGCGTCTGAAGTCACGTGCCACATTGATGTGTGACTATCTCATGACTCCTTCATGTCAGCGAACAGGGGAACAGATTAGAGAGATGCTTATGTTGCTGTTGTGTTCTTACTTCTGCTATGTTTCAGGATGTAACTATGTGTCCAGATTTTAGGAAATCTTAAAATTTTCCCTAAAAATGTAAGGGCAGTAACTGCGAATCTAAAGAAACAAGCATGTTGCCTCTAGAGCGTTCTGTGTTCTACAGTAACAGGCTAGAGATGTAAATCAAATGTGTGGGATTTAGAATGTGATGAGGTCCCCCAGAAGTTTCTGGGCCCAGGAAAATCAGCCTAATTAGACTTCAGATGTTTTTCTCAAGGGACGTTCTATTCATAAGAAGTCAGCAATGTGTTTTGTTGAGGGTGGGGACATGATCTCTTAGCATGTATGTGTGTAGCATATAAAAATCACCAAAACCTGCATAACAATCATTTACTTACGGATTTTCCTAGCCTTCATCACGGCGGCTTGGATTGTCTTGTGCCAACTGTCATACCACGACCACCACCTTGTGGCGCAGAAATGCCGAGGGTGAACCCGTGTGCAACGCTTGTGGACTGTACATGAAACTCCACGGGGTGCGTCTCTTACTCTCCTCATGAATGTTCTACTCATGAATGTAACATGTTTAGGATCCGGCTGGTACAATTTTTGTTATAAAATCAACCAGCAAATGCCCAGCATATGGAAGTGAAGAACTAGAAGATGGTATATTATTTTATTCAATCGAAGATGTTCTTCATATACAAAATGGTTATGAATCAGTAATAAACACAACTGTTGACTGGGGAAACTATCATAAATGCCCTGTTAACAGACTGTTAAAACACATTTCAGTTTCAGAAGTGTGGAAATGAGTACCTTGCAATTGATAACATAGTAATACTCATTTAAAAAAAAACAGTTTAAAGACAAACTAGAAAATGTACTTAACTACTATAGATCTTAAAAGTTTTTTTTGAAAACTGGTTTATTCCTACAAAGGAGACATTGGATAGTTTTAATTAAAAAATTCTGTGCCTCATTATGAAAGATTGCACAAAATATTATCAACATCTAAATCTTATGAGAAGAGGGTGCTCTAGGAAGAATACATCTCTTTGGACTAAAGATATTCATCCAGCAACAATCAACCACCCAGTAAATATTTATTTCAAACAGTGAGCCTTAAGTGAAAAAAAATTCTCTTTGGGGAAATCATTCCATTTTGAAGGAATCTCTACATTAGATGGGAAAATGTATATATGTATATGTATATACACTCTTTGTATATGTGAATCTATTAAGTATATATAGAAATTGGCCTAAAATTTATGTCCAGTTCTTTTGTTTATTTGAGGCAGACCTTACTTAACCTTATTTCTAAGTGCAGGGTGCATGAGACTCAAAATCTTCCTGGTTCAATGTTGGGATTAGATGTGTGTGCCACCACTCCAAGCTCCAGGTTGTTCTAAATGAGGAGTTTCAGTATCAGTGTCTTTGGTTTAGCTTTTTTTTTTTTGTATAGTATTTAATAAACTTAAGTCCTTTGTGAACATTTTGTAGGTGCCTCGACCACTTGCTATGAAAAAAGAGGGAATTCAAACCAGAAAACGAAAACCTAAAAACATAAATAAGTCCAAGGCTTGCTCTGGTAATAATAAAAAGCCATTTGATTGTAAAAAATTTTTGCCAACTTCAACAGTAGATACACATATATTTACATGACTCATTTTGAAATTTGCAGGTAATAGCAATAATCCTGTCCCTATGACTCCAACTTCCACCTCTTCTAACTCAGATGACTGCAGCAAAAATACTTCTCCAACACAACCAACAGCCTCAGGGGTGAGTGCCAAAGCCAAATGGACTCTGTTCTAACTCTAGTGGGTTGCTTTCTAGGAATTATCTTAAATTTTATCTTATCTGGCAGAACAATAATCTAGTTGTGACCCAAGAATAGTTTTTAGAGGAAATTACATTTAAACCTCAACCTAATGACAAATTTAAGTACATTACCAACCTCTTGATTAAGAGCACTCCGATTTTTGTGGTTAAATTAACCCCAGGAAAGAAGTTTTGAAGAGCTTTAGATTCTGTGTGTGTGTGTGTGTGTGTGTGTGTGTGTGTGTGTGTGTGTGTGTGTGTAAGGGGTGGGGGGGGAGAGAACCAGAGCTGATGTATTGATGTATATGCATTTCTAATGAGGCTCAGGAAATCTTCCAGGTTACCTGGCTAGGCAGATTTCCCCAGGCCACACTGAAGCTGCTTTGCTTATGCATTGCTTATTGTAGCAACTCCTTTTTCTAATCGCTTCTGGTCTATTCTGCATTCACTCAGATGAACACTTTCTGGGCAACCTTGCACCACTATTATACCCAGGCTTCTTTCTGTCACATGGCAAGTTTGAGGGTCATGTATATTGCCTCAGGAAATGCCAAGTCTTTGTGAGGATCGCATAGTTTCTGTAAAGCTGTGACTGAAACCTTATCTTTTTTTTCAGTTTATTTTTTTTAACAGTTTAACATTATTATTATTATCTTTAAGTAGTTGTACAAAGAAACCTTTTCTTTAGTTAAGAAACATTCCTTAATGTTTACCAAATTCACCTGGAATGCTCTTAAAAGGAAAAAAATAATCTATATTTGTGCTGGTCCTGGGGCTCAAACTCAGGGTCTGAGTGCTATCTGTGAGCTTTTGTGATCTAGGCTAACACTCTCACTTGAGCCACAGCTCCACTTCTGGGTTTTTGGTGATTAATTGGAGATGAGAGTCTTACAGACCATTTTCTGCCTGGGCTGGCTATGAACTGTAATCCTCAGATTTCAACCTCCTGAGTAGCTAAGATTACTACATTTTTGTGGTTAGTTTTTACATTGCCAGCGAAGGAATCCCGGGCTGTTCTGTCATTGAGCAGTGCCCCCACCCCTCAGCCAAGACTGTGACATGTTTTCCAGTCCTACTTAGGTTTATGCTAAGACTAGTTTAGGACCGGCTGGTGGCTCCCACCTGTAATCCTAGCTGCTCAGGAGGCTAAGATCTGAGGATAACGGTTCAAAGCCAGCTCGGGCAGGAAAAGTCCATGAGACTCTGATCTCCAGTAAACCACCAGAAAAATGGAAGTGGCACTGTGGCTTAAGTGGTAAAGTGCTAGCCTTGAGCTGAAGAGCACACGGACAATGCCCAGACTCACAATTCAAGCCCCGTGATGGACCAAAAAAAAAAAAAAAAAAAGACTAGGTTTAGGACCAAACACTGGTATTTCAGTCCCTGTTTACTTAGTAATTGTATGTCACATTTTGTTTTGTCTTTGGAATTGCTGGAGGTTACTACAGATTCCAAGGTCCCTCCCTGGATTCCAGAGTCCATCTCTGGGTGTGGAGTATGGAAATTTGTGTTTATGAGAAGGGCCCTTGGTGAGGTTGAAATGCTGCCCGAGGCGTGAGGAACTACAGAACTGGATGTACACAATCAAATTAAATATTCCAGGCAAAATATTTAAGCCGGTTAAAATCATTGGATATATCTCTTCCTCCAAATTCTTTGGAGCATTTTTTTAAAAAAAACATGAAATAGTGGTTGATTCAATTGGAGAAGGGGAAAAAAATTTTGGTTATAGTTGTAACAAAGGTTGTATGTTAAAGAATGTTTCTAGCGTTATAAAGGTGGTGCTTTAAACATTGAGGGTTGCCTGTAACTTTAAGGATATAAGGTGGAAAATAAAACATAGTACTTGGAAAATGAAAATGTCAAAGTAGTTTGATCAAGTTATTCTGTCCTAAGGCCTCACAAAGCCATTCTGTAGGGAATTGAAGCCAAAACCATGTTAGGCTTTTCAATGCATTGAGGGAGAGGCTTGGCTTTCCAGCTTTTGTCTTCACGGCTGGCTCCTAGCTCCAAGTCATTGTTGTGGGCATGTATGTAGCTTCAGTGTGGCAAGAGCCTGATTTGAGATAAATGCAGAAAAATGGGATATTTATCCAACCAACTTTTTTTGAGGTCTGGGTGCTTTTGGGAAGATGGAGTCAGATTTGCTTTTGTGGTTCCAAAATGGGATCTTGCTAAATCAGTCCATTGCCCTTCAGGCAAAAGGAGGATGGAAAGGCATTCAAAGGGCTAGACCTTGGTGTTCATGCCTGTAATCCTAGCTTCTTTGGAGGCTAAGATCCAACCACTCTGGTTTGAAGCCATCCCTGAAAGTCCTTGAGACTTTACCTTGAATTAATCACCCAAAAGCCTGAAGTGGCACTGAGGCTTAAGTGGTAGAGCACAAATCTTGAGCCAGTTAAGTGAGGCCCTGAGTTCAAAGCAGCCCCAGTATTGACACAGGGCTGTATAAGACACTGACAGGGCTGGGAATATGGCTTAGTGGTAGAATGCTTGCCTAGCATGCATGAAGCCCTGGGTTCAATTCCTCATTCCACATGTACAGAAATCGCTGGTATGTGTGTGGCTTAAGTGGTAGAGTGCTAGCTTTGAGTACAGAGAAGCTCAGGGACAGTGCCCAGGTCCTGAGTTCAAGCCACAGGATTGGCACCAAAAGAAAAGAAAAGGACAGGAACAAAAACAACTCAACTAGCATCCAAAGGGTCTAGGAAGGGACCTGGCTGTCTGAGGTTGGCCCTGGGCTTGTTGGTGGCCTGGCTGTCACCTCCAATAGAGGAAGCTTGCATGCCAGTCTAGTGCCCTTCAGAGGACAATCCAGACCTCTCCCCCAGTGTAGAGACCAGGGTGTGAGAAGCAATAAGGGATTTTCAAGTTGGTGTTGTTTGACAAGTTTCCCACAGGTCTTTGACTACAAGCTTTCCAAGCTCTGCTGCCTCTCTTAGCCCAGGCAGCCTCATGTGCCATCTGAAGCCTCTGGTAGCTAGTGTAAGCTTCAGCCAGGGGGCAGCTCCTGGCTGAGATTTTTTAGCCTGAGACTTCTCACTCAGCGCACAGGCTGGCACCACAACTGGACTCACAGGCTTTCTCTTGATGTGGCCATAGGCTGTTACCTAGCCTGGCTATTGCTGCGGGGAACCAGGCCTTCCCTGGCAGAAACTCATCTGCTGGCTGTTTTGGATACTTGGCCCCCCACTTTAAGAATTGTGGTTTCTCTAGGTTGTTACTAAGGAGTGCCCGAGTGTACCTTTTGGCCCCTTAGCAGTTTCCAGTACTTTCTCTGGGTGGGCTGAGTCTTTTTCCTGCATGGCCAGTGTGACAGCTGAGTAGCTCTGAAGTGGATCCTGGAGGGTCATCTGTGAGCAGCTGGCAGAAGTGATTTTAAAAGGTGCCTGTGTTGACAAAGGTGTGTCATTTTCCCATTTTGGTCAGTGTGTAATGTTGGCAGGCAGTTGGCTTTGATGGCCAACTGAACGAGTCAGAACCCCAGCTGTTTAAAGAGCTGTATGTCATGCACAAGGCTGTCTCTGACTTAGGTTTAAGCTAAGCTAACAGATTCCTCCCCCTTCTGAATTCTACTGCCTTTGTGAGGGAGGTGGTGGAAATGAGCAGTGTAGGGAGCCTCCGGTGTAATGGGACAATAGAGGATGGAGAATGAGGTCATTGTTCTCAAAATCCACATAGAGCCTCCTATTTTTTGTTTTTGCACTAGGGCTGGAGATGGAACTCAGGCTCCTGTCCCTTGGCATTTTTTTCCTCTCTCAAGGCTGGCATCTACCACTTGCCTCACACCTCTACTTTTTGCTGGTTGATTGGCTTCAAATTGTATCCTCAAATCTTAGCCTCCTGACTGTCTTGGTATTACAGGAGCGAGCCTAGCTTACTGTTCACTTTAAATTAGTCTTACTTTGAGAAATCAGTTGCAGGAGATCACCAGTGCTTCTTACATGAGGGCTGCTCACATGGATTCCTGGGTTCTCTTGACCCAGCAAAGGGACTCCAAGATGTAGGATCCTCACCTACTAGGTGGTTATTCTGGTTGCACGTTGACCTTGGGCCTGGGCTTCAGGGTTCAGCACCTAGAAGGAGCAGAGATATGGGCAGGATCCCTAAATATAGCTTGGTTTTAGAGAATCCAAAGATAATTTTTACCCTTGTCTGAAACTTCATTTCTTTGACTTAATTTTTGTGTCTTTGTTTTATGTCCTTGATGCTAACTTGTGCTTTAATGAGAATTCTGTCTGGGAATGAAGACATGCCTTCTGAGAGTCATTTAGTGGCTGGTGGGGGGTGGGGGCTGGCTTATGACTCAGTTTCCCCTTGTCATCTGTGCAGGTTGGATGTGCGGGGAGGGCAATCTTTTCCTGCTTACTATTAATTAGGAAGACTCCCTGCCATCCAGCCTCATTACAATCTGTTTTATTCTCATATTTATTAAGAAATTCGTTAAAGGTGAGCTTGATAGGTGATTAATTTCTACAAGTACCTTTACTGGCGAAGGTTTTCTCATGCGTAAATTTACTGGAAAATGTGTAATTTAAGTGACTTGAACTATAGCCCAGATTTTCTCTGGAATTTACTCTCTGAAGAGTTGTGAGAATATTAAAATCTTCTGAGTTACATTAATTAATTTACATTTTAGAGGGCCTTTTGATATTATTATGGGAAAATGTAGTAACATGTCTTATTTCATCAAATTCTAAAATGAGATTTAAGACGCAGCTCTCTGGTTCCAATTATGACCTAAAATTCTTAAACTTGGGCTGGGAAGATGGCTCAGTGGTAGAGTGCTTGCCTTGGCATTCATGAAGCCCTGGGTTTGATTCCTCAGCATCACATAAGCAGAAAAAGCAGGAAGTATTGCTGTGACTCAAGTTGGTAGAGCGATAACCTTGAGCTGAAGAGCTGAGGGACAGCGCCCAGGCCCAGAGTTCAGGCCCCACGACCAAAAAAAAAACCCCAAC